CTGGGTACTTAGTCATTTGACGTTTATTCCGCTAATCTATCGGTACTTCCCTCTTTTCTAAGGGTGTTGGTGTGGGGGTTGGTTTGACGTTGGTATGGGTGTCGTTATTGCCATTCTAACTATTCCCGCATCCAAACAACATCCACACCCATATCCATCCAAACAACACCCACACCCGCATCCATCCATGCACATCTACACCCTAGCCATACCCACACCCTGAAAACATGAAATTCATTTATAGTATTCTAAATTATTACGATTGATATATAGAAATATATGATTAGTCAATGGATTTAATATCATAACTTATTCCACTACTTCAACAGCCTAAAAATCAGTGTATGGCAATATACTCGAAAAGAAAGTACTACTCGACTAAAGGACTAAATATCAAAGGACTTAGTATCCAGTCGGACTGGACACCCAGTCGGACTGGGCCCCAGTTCACCAGTCAGAACTGGGACTGCTGCATCCCTAGTCAGATCAGCGCCGTAGAATATTTTAAGAATCGTCTCATCTGAAAGAGCAGATCAAACTGCGTCGAATGGAGTTTTCAAAATTTTGTAGAAATGAATTTTAATCATAAAACTCGTTCAACAATATTCTAGTTTTTTATGAAAAATCTTTGCCTAGAAAAAAATAATTGTACTCGATATTTTCCACCTATGGTTACTACAGATTGTGTCTTTTAGAAAAGTAATTATAGATTCTGATAGAGCATGAAATTCTCTACAACTTTATCTATAAACATCTAGAATAACACTTATTCGCTTAAAAAAAGTCAGGCACATAAATGACACCTCTATCATCAGATTTCTTACAATTGCATTTTTGTTTTCCATCTGTTGACCTTTCTCAAATTATTTCAAGTATTCCACAAAGAAAGTTACATATTATGATAGCGCGTGAAATTCTGCATCTTTTGATATATTACTCAAAAGGGAAAAAGTTGTGCATGAGTATTTAGTAATAACCATAATTGCTCTACAAGCTACAAAATTGCTAAAATTTCATTCGTATTTAACATTTTTTATCATTATAATTCAATTTGGGAGCAAAATAAATAGCATATTCGGAATCAGCGCAAAACTGAACCAAATCCAATATTTTTTTGGAAAAATATTTTTTTCGAAAAATTGACCTGTGGTTCCCCTCAGCACTTTTTTCTTCAAAAATTTTCCTCTAGCCCCCTCCAGGTCGGTTTTTGGTAGGAAATGGTTTCTACTAAAAAATATTCGATTTGGTTCAGTTTTGTGCGCTGATTTCGAATATGCTATTTATATTGCTCTGAAATTGAATTATAATGAGACAAAATGTTAAATACGAATGAAATTTTACCAATTGTGTGCACTGAAAAAAAAAAAGGTTCCACACGGAACTTAATTTGCAACGAAATCGAAACCTTCTTAGAGGTTTCGTATGGACCTAAGTTGCTTCCAAAAGACTTATAGAGAGTCTAGGATACTTTTTTTAAGGTTTAGAGAAAATCTACGAAACCTTCAAAAAGGTTTAGCTTTCGTTGCAAATCTCGAAACCTTTTTTAAGTTCCGTAGTATGTACGAAACTATTTTTAAGTTCCGTATCACGCACGAAACCATTTTTGGCCCTTTTTGGTTCCGCATGGAACCTTTTTTTTTTTCAGAGTAGACGATCAAACTACGTTGCCTATACAATCGAAACGAAAACAGCTATTCAAGAGGCTATTCAGAGCACAAAAATGCTTGGCAATTTTTGCCCTATTGTTGATGATTGGATTGGGAATAGTAATTAGTGCCTGCATTTATCAAATTCATCGTTTGAAAAATCATCTAAAAATGCAAGACAAGAGAATTCAACAATTGAACATTCTTCGATCAACAGATAATCAAACAATTGAACAATTGACCAATAAATTGGAAGATCTCGAAGCAAACAGTAAGATAAATGTAATCTGTCTCAAGAGTCACTGCATGAGAATCACGATTTATCTTTCATAGTCAACAATATCAGATCTTTTTCGAACATTATATGACTTAATATCTTGCAGCTATTTAACGGCAACATTAAATTTCCAGATGTCTAAAATTGACTTTCTTCTCGAAACAAAATATTAAACATCTCATTTAATATGAGTTATGCCTCCATCTGGGCTACCGAAGCATACATTCTGATCACTCTCCCACTTTGGTAAGGCACTGAAAATTGAAAAGACGAGCATTATCTTGTTTATGATGAAACCATACATCATTAAGAAGAGCGCATCAAACTGAACAGATGTTTTCTATTTTCTGAAACATTTTTTCAGATAAAAAAAAATGTGGAAAATTGAAGCATATTATATTCTCAGAGTATTTGTCATTTATGCTAATAATCAAGAAATCAAATACGTAATGAATTACATAAGTCATGACATACACCATCCCGAACTTATGCTAACTAACAGCGATTATAAAGGGAGTTTGACATACTTTTGCAATATTCAAGGTCACAAAATTGAATTAGACGCATACTAATAACCAGGAACACTTGACTCAGCCATACTACTGCCTCACTAGCATCCATAAGCGCCTATAATCTACTATTGAGAAACGAATACATGAGTTTCGAATTACTTTCTGTGCATGTTCATTCCAGAAATACCAAAAACCAGGAAGTACGTCTAAAGACACACATTAAAACTCAATAATATCGAGATAATCATAATAAGATCTCATTAGCACTCATTACCCCTCTCCCTTTGTAATAGAAGACGCGGGTTTTTTTATATATTCGAGCGTAGAAATATCCTAAGGGAAGTTTTCTAATACGACTTGTCGGTATAATATCTCGAAAACGTTTTGGAAAACTAATTTTTATCTCAAATTATTATTTTTGACAAAAGCTACCTAGTAAACACTTTGTTACAAAACACCACACTGGTGAGCAAAGACGCACACATAAATTATTACTGCATTTTATGCTCGTGCTCCTCAAAGAGTATGAATCATTTAACTAATTTTCAATGATCTTAGGTCAGGTTATAGCTGCACCCAAAGATTGACTGAAATCAATGTAAAAAGTAGCAAAGCTAGATCAAGAAATGATTTACTAGTGTGCAAACCATGTTGTTATTCATATTCAACAGAAATACAGTATAAGAAAACTTGGAATGACATCAGCTTTACTTGTTGCTCCTTGACATGTTCTAATTTTGAACATGTAAATGTCAGATTAAATTTGTATGTTAGACTATGTGTAAAAGACCATTTGATTGGACATCCTCGACCGCAGAGTAACTGGAGTACAACTCGAAAATGATATAACTAGAATGTCTTCTGAATTCAGGATGATAATTCACAGTAACGAATGTTGTTCAGTTCTGTGTCTGATTCTTCGATAATGGATAAGGAAGCATCTTTTGACCATCAGATGGAATTGAAATACCACTAGAAGTACATCTGAGTCGAAAAGTTCTTTGAATCTTCTAAAAATGTTTTCGATTTTCGTTGTTAACTATTATAGATTAAAAGATTCGAATCTTCTATTAAGCTCTTCAAACTTTTGACAAGAGAGATCTTCTAATCTGGAAGGAGAGCTGGGCTTATGAATACTGAATCGACTGCATCAGCAAGTCGTGAATATAATGAAAACATGTGCTCAGGACGAGAAAATACGTAGTCAGCACACGGAGAGAAATGATCTTATACAAAATAATGAATAAGCCGAAGACTGTAAACGAGCATTGATCGTTTCGTACACGATCGTACTTCTCCATATACGGTCGTCTACAAGCGTGTTTGTTTAACTTATGTAGGTTATATTGAAATTTGCTTCACATAATGCATTGTTGTTTTCCTAAAAGTAATCATGTTACTTGTTATGCTAACTATAGGTCATATTGAAGATAATTCGAGGCGATCTAATAATGCACGAACACGGTGAGAGAGAGCAGTGACTTTGAAAACAGCAGTATCTTTGGTTTTCTGTTTTTGTCGTTCAGGCCAATAACCAAATCACTATTGACATGGAAGCTGCACAACGAATATCCAAAGCTTGGGTCAGTGGCAAGGGTTTTAATAAAACAGGCTTTCGATGATTGGTCTCGTGCATCATCACTCAAATTTTGTGAAATTCCACCCAGTTCAAATGAAACGGCTAATTTCAATTTATCTTTCGAAAATGGCGATCACGGTGATGGTTATTCTTTTGATGGAAACGGCGGTTTACTTGCTCATTCATTTATCCTGCCAGACGGCAGAATTCATTTCGATGCGGATGACCAGTTTACTGACAAGTTAGTTAATTAGAGAGAAAACTGCATTCTTCTGTTTGATAGCTTAGTAGGAAAAATTGAAATTGTCGGACTTTTGCAGCAAAATGGAAGTGAACGACCTCATACTACCGTAGATCGATTGCATGTACCAAATGAGGTATGGTGGCAAATCAGCGAAAGGTTTTTTAGCGAAAAGTTTTTCAGCGAAAATATCTTTTGTGCCAATTGCGAAGAGTAAAAGAGCGTAGTGTAAAATAGTCAAACCTTCAGTTTAATTAAATGAAAAGTAATATTTTATAAAACTTAAGAAAACAAATGTAATACATGAGCATCAAGTGATATAAAAAAAGTACAGATTTAGTAATGAAGCATTTGAATGAGAAAATCAAAGAACAGTTGCAGAATTTTGAGCTACGATCATAGATAAACCATGAATAAATTCCAGCAGAGTAATTTGTTTTGGTTCATGACATTCCGTTAGAGTTGCGATTTGTGTTCGGATAAAGCAGCCTGTATCGTTTTTCTTCTGTATACCACAATTAACTTTTCCTAATTGTTGTCGAAATGATAATTCCTCCCGTTGTCAACATTCAAACAGCCATCAAACGTTTGAATGAGTTTTGTCGGCATGGTTGTTGACCTTGTTGGGCCAACCTATGTGACAAAAGACAGATACACACTTTTCAAGAAAAAACAAAAGCTTACCTTCAGCGAAATTGTTAGTACGAAACTCGAGGGTTGACACATTTCAGTATTTTGGAGGCACTCATATTAACCATTGATATTTAAAATATTTAAAGAAACCTGCCATTTCTGCAAGTGAATCATCTTCAAGAAGTTGTGCAGCTTCTTCTATTAGTTCGATGGGTAGAAGAGCGAAAAGCATTGTGCTTCGACAAGATAAACGTATACTTTCATCTTCAAGATATGCTGTTGCTAGACCGAGTAATTGAACTTGTTTATAAAGTGATTGGCAATAGTGGAAGTAATCTCCATGGTGCATTGCCATTGGGAACTAGTGAATCGAAAATTAAAATAAATCATAAATTTAGAAAATAGTAACTCTTTGTTTAACGGCTTTAATCAAAAATATTTCAAAATCTAACATGACATGCCGTGGTTCAAATTTCCGATTTAATCGCTTAGCATGATGTTCAAGCTCAGAAAATAATTGTAGATATGTATCGGTGAATTTTCCTGAAAGCAGATTTATAACACATGGAAGATCTAAACGACAAATATAAACCAGATGCTTTGAGTAATGGATGAACTCACTTTGTTGAAATTTCAAGCAATGGATTGTATAGACTTGTTTACACTACGCTGGACATGAATCGAATGTCCCATCGAGAAAAATCCATTCAGATGAGAACAATGTTTCACGTTGCTTATCAGTCGCAAATGAAATCATTCGTTTATTTCCGATAAATCTATCACTACAAACAAATGATTTACCATTGAGTGTTTGTCGGTAAAAATCAGGAATATCGAAATCACTTGATGTAGGTACTGATGGAGTTATATTTCGACGAACACGATTTAAAACAGATTCTATAAAGAACAGCGACACATTAGAAATTAAAATACATAAACAACTTACTTGCATCAGCGGGAAGTGATGCAAGGATAAGAGCAGCTGAAGAGAGATTAAAACGAGCTAATTTTTCTTCATAAATGTTGGGCACAGAAGTCGTTTCACTTTCCACCCTCTCCTTTACCTTATTTTTCAGATCTCGAAGTTCCATTCGTTCACTTGCAGGCAAATGTCGATGTTGTCCATTAACTTTAATGAATTGATCATTTGCATTAGTATGAACATTCGCTGCACAGCTATTTGATTGACAAACCCAGTATTTAACTTTTCTTGTCGACTTTTTTAATCGATAACCATATCCTGAATAAATAAGCATTAGTTCACCTCGATTTGAAGTGGCAAAAGAGAGTATTGTCGGGTCAGGCATCACTGGTTGGTAAAATGGACTAAATGGATGATGTATATATAGGTGAACTATGTGACATCACTTACGGACGATTATATATCGAAAAGAAAGAATATAATAGATTATCAAGTCGAGGAGAGCAGAACGAGCATGAGCTACCATTTATACACTCACAACAGCGTGATGATTCACCGTCAAGCCTAAACAATCAAATCCTATCAAGAAAAAATGTCTCTAATTTCCACAATCGCTATTATTTTTGCTAATGAAAAAATTTTTGAATTTTCGCTACTTTGCCTTTCGCAGTTTTACATTTCGCTATTGTTTATTTTCGCTGAAAACGCTTTTCGCTATAATGGTTTTCGCTCAATCGACACCGTAACAAAATATGTGTTTACGTACTTTAGTGGTTTGAACCAAAAGATGAAAAAAAAAAAGATTTTCAATGAAAGGTTTCAAAGTCTACAATCGCTACTGCTCTATTTTTCAGCAAACGCAGAATTATTGGCCTTATTTGGGCGCATCTACTATCAGTAAACAGAGTTCATGGATTCAGCACAAAAACGAAGTAGATATGAGTTCGTTGCAATTGATCATTTGTCGCTAAGCCTTATAAAAATTGTCTTCATCCGTAAAAATATGGTCTATTTTCGACCTCTTTCAAAGCTTCACATTATGCTGTGCATTTTTGTTGTATTTCCCAGATGAATCTTCTTCTAAAGGAACGTATTATGTTAGCTCGGCGAAGTAAGAAAACTGCGCTGCTCTTTTGTCTATCGTCTAATTGCACGTCTGTAACAAAGAAAAGTCAATGGCTCATCATGCGGAATAAAGTTTCGTAACGCGACATGTTGTTTAGCCATATCCCTTCCAGACATATTCTGTTATAAGAGAGATTGGATCCCCTAGATCCGTTCTGCCTCCCTATAATTATGTATACTTCCAACAACAAATACAGTCATTCTTTTTTTGAAAGGTACGAAGACCGTGGTTTTCACTTGCGAATCATTGCATTGCACGAAATCGGCGACACATTAGGCTTGGGACACTCTGTAGATAATAGTTCGGTGATGTACCCTTATTATCGATTGATGAAACCAAGCCAAATATTACCGGAAGTCGTAAGTTAGCATGAATATCATAGAATTCCACCATGCTTTGAAATTCGTTTTTATACAGGATCGTCGTTTGATGGCTCGTCTGTATGGCAGTCCATCTAAAAACACAGCATTGTCACCACAAAAAACAACGAGAAAAAGGATAACAAGAAAGAAATCGAATATTGAACCAATGGTGCTGACCAGATAAAATCAATTTACCAATTCTTTAACAAGCTTTCGCAAAATCAAATTATTAGCAGTGTGTATGGACGCAAGTAAATGGCCGACCTCATCAATATTCATGTTCGGATGATTCATTTAAATGATGCTTTAACGATTATTTTCCTACGAAGTACCTCATCTTAGTATTTCAACAGACGTAATTCAATGAAAAGTAACCTTTGTCCTTCTCCTTCGTATTCTTCGTAGCTATTTACAGCAATAATAGTTCTCTCACAGATCTGCTTCATTTTTGCCTTTAGATAATCTCATTTGCTGATGTGCAATCATTTAATAATAAAAATAATCATATATATTCTGTCGAACTCTTCAAGATTTTCCTACTTGCTGAAACCAGGCATGTACCGAGCTTTTTTTCGTTACTTTCAAACACTTTTAGTTCAAAACCTTCAGCTCTTAAGTGAAAAGCTGAATCATGAGGCCCAACTTATCAAAAGATAGAGCAAACATCGCTCTACAAAATGAGACATACCCAAGCCCTGTGCAACAACGCCTTCAGTTTTTATAAGAATTTTACAAACAGACCCGGACCGAGCCCGAGCCCCGAGCCTAGGCTCGGTCGGGCTCGGTTTGTAAAATTCCTATAAAAACCGAAGGCATTATTGCACAGAGCTTAGATATGTCTCATTTTGTAGAACGATGTTTTGTCTATGTTTTGATAGGTTGGACCTCATGATTTAGTCTTTCATTTCAGAGCTCAAGATGTTAATATAAAAGTGTTCGAAAGTAATGAAAAAAAGCTCGGTACATGCCTAGCTGAAACCGATTCTGAAATCCTTTTAGAATTTAGAAGAATATAGCGATTAAAAGTGTTTTTTGATTCCTCATCGAGTAGAAAATCGTTTCAACGATTTTGAACGCGTTTTGAAAAGTGAGCATAGGGTGTGGGTGGGATGGGCGTTGGTGTGGATGGGGTGTGTGGCTGTGAGTGTGGGTGTGGATGGGGTGTGTGGCTGTGAGTGTGGGTGTGGATGGGGTGTGTGGCTGTGAGTGTGGGTGGTTGTTAGTGTTTTGGTTTGGTTGGGGCTGTTGCTGTTCTCCTGAGCTACAAGCACACCTACCCTCACTCCATCCACACCCACACTTATTTTTTCAGCTTATTATTCTTATTAGAAACAGTGCTCATCATAAGAACTAATTCAATGACTCTCAAATTATCGTTAATTGCTCATTTATTTTCGAGATAAACAAAAGAGTTTTATATCCTTTGATTCAGAAAACATTCCCGTACTCAGAACTATAAAAAAAAATCATAATTTTCTTTTAAATTGTAAAACATAGACTTGAATCATTCATTATTGAGTATCGAACTTTATTAAACATGCCAACTTGAAAAAATTATTCGAATGAACAAAATGTTTGAATTGATATGAAAATGAATAAACATGACATATGATCATTTCATCTGTTGAATTATGATTAGCATACGAAATAACTTGAGTATATCCTCTTTTCTTAAAACTAAATTGAATGTCGTCATTTAATGGAAAATCAATGCTAATATTCGGCACTAGTACAATTCGTCGCACGACAATTCGTCGCGATCAATTCGTCGCAATCAATTCGTCGCACGACAATTCGTCGCAAAACAATTCGTCGCACATGTATTTTAGAGAATACATTGATTGAATCAAGTAATTTAGTTTAAAATGTTATACAATTAATCGCCTTAAAAAATATTTTGTTTAGACTCATAAGAATCTTTTTTCATAATACAATGATTTTCTCAAAATTAAAATAGAGATATCAATTTAAAGCCTATTTTAAAATTTAATTAAAAAAAATGGAAGTTTGATTTTGGATGAAATTCTATGTACACAAANTTAGCAACTTCTACTCCTTATTCAAACCCGTTAGATCTAGACTCTTGATGTTTATTTGATGAATTCCAACAGCCTGATGCGTTCCTTTAAGGGACTTTCTAGTGCAGCGGCTAGTCGCTCGCCGGCGCCCCGGAAGGGCGCCACTCACGACTAGCCGCTGCTATGTTTCGTTCTATTTCTCCACAGCACCATCCTTTTTTATTTACACTTCATCTAATCACAACCTCAGCGCACTTCGAAAACCATTAGATCTGTAGCACGACAATTCTCGAATGGGATTTCTAAACCAGAACTTGGTTGTGAACTATTTCTGATTTCTTCAATTTCAATCTGCAGTTGAAAAATAAGAGTTTTATTGAAATCCCTCATTAAGAAAATATTAGCGCAGTATTCTCAAAAAAACTAGCTTTTATGCATATCTTTGGTGAACGAAATCTATCGATCGGTTGCAATATAAGCAACAAGTCGCTCATTTTACGTCAGTACACTCATGCAACAGTTTGTTAATTGTCTATTTAGCATAAAAGATATGGCATTGTTTTTATACATCTCTTTTTTTTACTTCAAGTTATCGCAACTAGAAATTCCACGAGTTAGAGATCCTCGAAACATATACAAGGTTAAAAAATCGAGTTCTTATAATAATAATAATAATAAATTACAGTTTATTGCCACATACCGGTTTAAGATCTTGCTCCATCTATGGATAGATTTCCGTAGGGTATACATTTAACCTTATGAAAGAAATGGGAGAAATCTGCTCACAAAATTAATTATATTGAAAGATTGTAAGCAAATCTAGCAAATTTTACCACACTCCTCTGTCGTTGCAAAAGGCACCGTCGCCTTTCTTTGAACATAGATGGCTTCTGTTATACCTTTAAAAGCTGCTGAGATACGGAGATTTGACATGGGCAGCATCTCTTCCTGAAATCCTATTAGTGTTTTCGTACCAAACATATGGGACTTCAAGGTGCGAATAACTTCCATCGTTTGAACATTTGAAGAGTATTTTCGAGGCGTTCCTAATCTGCTTGCCTTCACAATCATTCAAGGCATGCTAAGAGCTACCCATGTGCAAAAAATACCTTCGGTGTCTGTCCCAATAATAGAGAGAACGGATACAAACAAGAACTTGAAATTTCAGGAAACCGATTGCAGCTTCCAATAACCCGGCCCCTGCTTACTTTCGTCAACCTTTATAAAATATCGTTATTTTCCGAAAAAAAGCCTTTTCTTGATCGAAAAAGTTCAACGAAAAATGTCGAGAAACCGGTTACGGGTTTGGATACCCCGACCCCGGTTTATTTTCATGAACCTTATAAAATATCGTAATTTTCTCAAGAAAAATCTCATTTCTCAATGGTCGGCTTCCTAGCCAATCGGATGGTCGGATGAAAATCAGATCTCGGATTCAGAATCTTGGTCCACGATAACATATAGTAAAGTTTCATCAAAATGTGTAAAATACTTAAAATAAAAAAGTTCATTTCTGATTCGTAGGCTTTCTACCCAATGGGAATACCGGAATTAAAATCCGCCCTCGAAATCGGATTTCCCGACGTGAATTACCTGTACTGAAATTTTACAAGGTACTTCTAAATCAAGTTCCCCTGTGATGTTTTTTTGACCGTGCGACAAACAGACACACACACACACAAACGCATTTTAGTTTTTCTCATATGACCCTCCCTTCAGTCGAGGGAATTAGTGCAAACTAAAACATAAATGAGTCTAGGGTCCTTTTGATTTCAAATTGAGCATTGAAAAATATCCGCACCCTTTTCACAAAAAACTGTGGGTCTTGTAGGTCTTTAGAATTATAATTATGATGTGGATGGTATGACGAGTTCTGATA